AGGCCGGGCCGCCTCGCTGGCGGTGAGTCCCGGGACTCGGTCAAGGCCGCCGCCCCGCCTCTCGCGGCCGGGGATGAAGGCCCCAGACGCGTGTCTGGGAGCCCCGCGCCGCAGTCGCAGGTCGGGGTTCTGTGTGCGCGGAGCCTGGAAGTGAAGTCTGCGCCAGCCCGGGCGGGGGAGGCGACGCCGCCGCCGCCACCGAGCCGCCCCGACGGCACGGCTGCCATCCAGCGCCCGGAGGCCGCGCGGGGAGGCGCGGCGCGGGAGGCGCGGCGGTGCCCGCTAGGAAGATGCTGTTCTCACTGCGGGACCCAGAAAGAGGGAGTCGGTCACTCGGAAACGACTGCAGCTCCGCGGTGTCTTGCGTTCACAGCGTGCGTCGGCCTCCGACGCTTTGCGTGGCTCTCACAAGCTTTCCCGCCGAGCGGGATCCAGAGTCGATGCCGGAGCTGCCGCATCAGACTCGAGGAGGCTCCATGTAAAGGGGCGCATTTTAAAACTAAAGTGAACCCTCGTTCCGCTGGGGACTGTGTTTGGCCAGAAAACTGACCAAAACCAACCAAGTAAAATGTGAAGGCTAGTGCAGCTCAAGGATCGTTTCCTCCAAACCGTGGAGGAAAAGTGGCATTAAGGCCTCAGCACTTGGAGCCTAAGTCCTAGGCCAACCTTTCAGAGAAAATGATCTCTCTGAAAACATTAGGAATCCAGATAAGTCCCCTTTCCCCCACTTGTGTTCGCAATCTGTGTCCTGGGTTTGTGAGCAGGAAAATGAATGAGAAAGCTGGAGGGACTGTGGGAGTCGTGGATAATTCCGGTTTCTCAGAGAGAACTAAGGCTGGCAGACAGATCTGGATTCAAATTCTTGCTCCCTCACTTAACCTTTTTGGGCAAATGTTTCCTCATCTGAAAAAAAATTAACAGAGATGATGTCTGGAAAAAAAAGAATTGTTTCATCCTTTTCTCTTTATTATGATAATACTGTGAATTGTTTCATTCTGTTCTCTGTGTATACATACATAGTAGTATTATGTATGTGTTATGTATGTATCCTGACCAGCACTGAGTTTGTGACTTGAAATTCATTTATCCAACAGCATGCATCCAACAAGTACTTACTAACAGCACAAATGTGCCAGGCAGGACTCCAGTTACATGATGGTAATACAGACATGAGAAAAGCAGAACTATTCCCTCCTAGAGCTGTCAACATAGAAGAGGAGAAGGGAAAAAAAAAAAAAAAGCAAAACCACAAAAGGAATAAGCCAGTTTTATCTTAATAATAAAAATGCCATCGACTTTGAAATCACTCATTTATTTCCATTGTATACAGAAAGCCCAGCACAGTATTTCCCAGCTTTTTGTGATTTGAGTTCTCCTTTTAATTTCCTTTTATAATTTGCTGAGCCAGAACTCTTCTCAGAAGTTGTAGTGGAGATTCTTAAGTGTTTAATGGAATAAACCCGCTCTGAAAAGCTCTGGGCCTCATATTCTTTGGCATTTGTATTCCAGCTAAGTGTGATTGCCTGCTTGAAACTAACTGTGCCAGAATATCTAAAACAGCACACAAATCACAAATTATTTGACAAATATTAATCAGCCTCAGGGACAGCATGACTTTTTGCATTTATTTCCTACTTGAATCCTATCTTTTTAAAAAAAATCAGGATCTAAACAAATGTGCATTCAACAAACTGTACTGTGACACTTTTGAAACCTAAATTAACTGATACTAAATACTGCATTTAGCACGGGTGATCACGTCTGTAATCCTAGCTACTCAGGAGGCTGACACCTGAGAATCACAGTTCAAGCCAGCCCAGGGCAGGAAAGCCAGTGAGTCCAATGAACCACCCAAACGCCACAAGTAGAGAGGTGTGGTTCAAATAATAGAGTGCCAGCCTTGAGTGAAATAGCTCAGTGAGAGCACGAGGCAACGAGTTCAAGCCCCAGTACCACCTCCCCCCCAATAAAGCAAAATAAACATGTAAGCACAGGAACTTTCACTGGACGCCATGTTGAAAATGAGCTACACAATTTATAGAGTAGGGACGAGAGGGAAAAACAGAGAGAAGGAGGGAAAGGGTGATATTGTCCCAAAAAAAATGTACTTTTTACCTGACTTACGTAACCAGTACCCCTCTGTATATCACCTTTATAACAATTTAAAAAAATTAAGCCCAAGGCCTTGTATTCTACACCCCATACATAGTTTCTCTAGCTGACCCCTCCCCAGGCTGCAGGGACATCTCCAGGCTCTGGGACAGGCCCTCACAGCACCCACCCTGCAGCCCCCAGAATCCCGTTTGGCCCTCTTTTCTAGAATGACAGCTGCCACTCTCCATTCCTGGTGGTCTACCTAACCAGCAAGCATGTGCTGTGTCTGACCTGTGGCAGGAGCTCCATGAACACAATTCAGGAGAGGCAAGGGCAGAACACCTCAAAAGACACCACACTGGCATAGTACTGCCCTGTGAAATCACGTGAGAGACTGTAATTTCCAAGATTTCAGAAATGAGCCCATCTTTTCCTACCTGCAGTAAAACATAATTCGTCGCTGAGGGCTGTCCTGCACGTAGCAGCACCCGGAAATCACCCCGATGCCCGGAGACAACTGCCGACTGGGGCTTCAGTGAACCTGAATAGACAAACTCTGAAGTCCCGTGATCTGTTCTCTGCTGCTGTCTTCCTCACTCACCACTATCTCTCGGTTCTGGGCCTACAATTTACCACCCTGGGGCTACAGAGCCACTAGTCTGCTAAGCCTTCCCAAATGTATTGTTTGTTGTCTCAACAGTGCAAGAGAGCCCCAGCTTTGGGCATTTCAATTGGGACTTCATTGAGAAGGTTCTCATGCCCATGTTAAATCATAAAGGTGGTTTCCTTTTCTGTTGTTGATCAGCTCTGGTGTTGATTAGCTTCCTGGATCTTAGACAATCGGAACATCAGAGCGGGCAGCCTCAGGATCTCTCCTCCTTCTGAAGTTACAGCTGCCAAGTTGGCCTTTTTAACTCAAATGAACTACCTCCGTTTCACCTCTTTCTGTTATTGCTTAGCTCCTGGCTGGTCTCATGGCCTTGAATCATGATCTTAA